CCCCCCCTCTTCTTGTCAGCGATTACTGATAAAAGAGGAGTGGGGTTCTCGCTAGTTCGCTAGTAATGTTGATTATTTTGTTAGTAACGACTTAGAAAGAGACCGAAGAGCCCAGTGTTAATTAGTTAGTGGGACGTCACATTCCTTTTCACCTGTGAAAACTGTCACATTGTTTTTGATGCTACAGTCTCATTATTTTCCATTTAAGTTTGGAATTTACCATCACGTTTTCAACTAATGAATTGAATAACAGTGGCATCTTAAGTACTTAGTGACACAACGATCAGTATTACTTTCGAAATTTGTAAGTATTGCTGGCAATTTCGTGAGTATTACTGTTGTGTATACGAGTGCATTGTTTGTTAGCAGAATGTCAAATGCAGGCTGAGAATGCAGTTATCACACCCATACTTCCTTGCGTCCTTACAGACCTGGTAATCACTCTTCAATGGGACATTTGTTTGTTTCCAGGAGCTAAACGACGTCCTAGGCGAGGACCGAGGGCGTTCCCTGCAGCACTCGGATTTGAGCAACATGCAGTACACTGAACGGGTGATCAAGGAGGTGCTGCGCTACTTCACCGTCGTGCCGATGATGTTTCGCCACATCACCGAGGACCTGACCGTGCCGTCTGGCTTCACCATTCCGCGCGGCTGCACGGTGGGCTTCTGGCTGCCCTACACGCACCGGGACCCGCAGTCGTTCCCAGAGCCGGACAAGTTCGACCCAGACCGATTCCTCCCGGAGAACGCTCGTGGCCGCCACCCTTTCGCGTACTTGCCATTTAGCGCAGGACCCAGAAACTGCATCGGCCAGAGGTACGCGATGATGTTCCTGAAGACGGTGGCGGCCGTCCTCGTGCCACGCCTGCACTTTGAGCTCCCCGATGACGGCCCCAAACGCCTCGAGGACGTCCCCATCACATTTAACCTCACCTTATCCGTTAGCGGTGGCGCTAACATCCGCGTCCGCCGGTGTTGAACCAAAAAGCAAATGAAAACCAGCCCTGTGGCCCTGTGATAACATTTTTGTATTGTTCCGCAAATGCCTCAGACCTGTACTAATTTATTTCTTAGAAAATATCTAAGTTCTTACGCTGCAGGATTACTGACTTATTTGTTACTTATTGTGTATATTTTTTAAAGTAACTTAATAATGTAAGAAAAAATTGACAGTTACAACTATATGAATTATTCAGAATTACACTATTAAAATATTAGCCCACAGGGCTGAGAAACGGACAGTCCCCTCGACCAGGCCACAATGTCTTTCGTACAGCTGAAGTTGCTGCAACAGTCCACGCCGATCCAACAAGCTGCTTGGAGCGTACAACGCCACAACCAACACTACTACTGAATATAGGAGACGATAAGGAAAGAGAAAGAGGATCTCTTTACCCTCCAGTGCACTGATGAAACAAGTGTGCAAAATTTGCACACCAACGTGTACAAGTTATGAGTTTGCACATTACATAGCGTTTAGCTCAAGTTGTACACTTGCGTGGTGTGCAAATTTTAGACGTTTTGTAAACGCTTAAATTCTGCACACTTAGACACACAGGAACCATATGGTGTGAGCTGCTATTCTTTGTGGACTTGTCGAAAGTTGAAACACCAAAGGACATAAAACCTAGTTCGACACCACAATGTGTCGAAAAATTGCACACTTGAACTTTAACATCAATTGACATGCAAAATTAAACACTTGTTTAACCAGTGTAAAAAACAGTCTCGGGGACTGTCTATAAAATAAACGGGGAAAAGGAAACGACGGGAAAAGGGTAGCGGTGGCGGCGCGGCGAGGAAGGGGGCCACCACGCCGCGTCATCACATCTGTACGGCCCTCCAGCCGAGGGCGGCCGAGGGCTCTCGACTCCAGCCGGCGGGAGGTTCGGCTCGGCTCCAGCACGGCTATCCAGGGCGGCGCGGGAGGCCTGCAGGGCCTGCAGGGGGCGCCGCGACAGGGAGCCTGGAGAGGGATTCCACACGGACCGGGGAGGGTCTGCCTGCCGGTGGTTATTAGATGACGCTTGATTGAAGGAGAGGGACGGGCTGCCATGACAACGAGGGGGGAGAAGGGAGGCTGTGGTCCATACCGACTGGACTGGGCCGCCAACACCACGCGAGGCCGCAGGCACGGCGCAGCTACCCTTAGGGCGCGGGCCAGGCAAATGTGTCGTTACACAAAAGAAGAGAAATAAATCTGTACAATAGCTACGGAATGGCTTTTTGATGAGCTGTGCGTTGTCCGACTAAAAATTTAGCAATGTAGCAAAAAATTAGCTATTAAAGAAAAAATTACTTGAGTAGCTAAAAATTTTGCTACGTAGCTAAACATAGCTAAGCTTTTAGCTAAATCGCTAAATAATTGGTTAACGCTAAATAATTGGTTAACTCTAAATGGGCTACTGGTTTAGCTGTACAATTAATCATTTTTCCCTGTGCGACGACAGAAAGACACAAGCATTGAGTGGGTTGCGCCGCCGGTTTGCACCGACACCAGGGTCTCTCAAACGACGGCGCGCAACCAGCCGGAAGCAAAGGGAAGGCGGGGCCGCCAGACCGCGACCAGGAGGAACACGGGGTTCTTTCAGCGGCTGCCGGGGGGGGGGGGGGGGCAAGGGGGAGGCTCCACATGGATGGGGCTGCATGACAATGATGGCTTAGGCGGCACGGTGACGCCGGCACTTCAATTCGTCAAACCGTCACGTTGGCGCGGGGTGGCGCGGCGTGGCGCGGCGTATGGCACCCCTCCGCACCACACCACCCCCGCGCCGCGAGGTAGCGAACTGCATACGGAGACAGGGATTTGAATCAACCAACGCATGTGCGCGGCAGCCGGGCGTCACGAGAGCCCACCCCCAACCTCACCACGCCACGACTCCACGCCCCGCCTCCACGCCCCGCCACGCCCCGCCACACCACGTCTCAAAACCAACCCTCTTTGCCATTCCGGTCGGCGTCACCGTTTGTGACATGCGAGCCGAATGTGCATTATATCGCCGGCAGCCATCGCAATGTAGGAGGGGGGAAGGAAACAGGCGCGACAACCAGTAACCAGTGCGCTCTCTGTAAGAGAGAGAGAGAGAGAGAGAGAGAGAGAGAGAGAGAGAGAGAGAGAGAGAGAGAGGGAGACCTGCCGTGCCCAGCAATGCCTTTCCTAACCGCGCACAAAAGACCACTTGACAGTAACTTGAAACTGCGCCGCAGTATCGTCTCGTTCCGGCGCAGTCAGTCAGTCTGTCTCTGTCTCTCTCTCTCTCTAGCAGAGAAGGCACTTGAAATCAGCAGACCTCGCCCCCGCTCGGTTCGTTCCCCACCTTGGGCGGTCGAAAGTGCAACAGTCAGCCTCCCTGCTCCGCTGCTACCTCGCTGAGTCGACGCCGGGGACCTGGCCGGCCCGGCCGTGCCGCAGCTGATTGGCAGAGATTGACTCCGGCGAGGCGAGGGCCGGGAGGCAAGGCCGCAGCTGCAGCTGCAACTCCGGGCCTCGCCTCGGGGCGGCGGCAACGGAACGAGAAAGATCAACGTTAAGACTGGCGACATATCGGCACCGGAAGAGGGCCCCGGAGCAAGATAGAGAAGGGGTCTCTCTCTCTCTCTCTTCGTTTTCCTCGGACAATGCTGGCTTTGCGGGCCGGACGGCGTCGGCGAGAGAGCCATGGCCACGATGAAGCCGTCCCCGCCCCACCCCCGCCACTCCAGGCCCGCGCCGGCCCCAGGCGGCCTGGGGCTCTTGCTGCCGGGCGGCTGGACCCAGAGGGAGCAAAAGTGCCGCCGTTTCCCGCCGAGCACCATCAAAGCGCGTCTCTAGACGGTCGAACCATTTCTTTCTCTCACCAAAACACACACACACACTCGCACTCACACACACACACACACACACATACACACACACTCGCACTCACGCACACACACACACACACACACACACACACACGGCAATTTACGAGTTGTGGGGGGTAGGAAACAAATGGGCCGCGAGACCATATTGGATTACGGCCGCGCTCCTCCTCCTCCTCCTCCTCTTCGCAAAGTCACTGCGTGTGCGAAGATCATATTTTACGATTTCTTCCCCCCGTCTCCTCTCCAGTCCTGCTTCTCTACACAAACACCACCACCACCACCACCACGATGGCGACACGACGCCCCGCGGTTCCCTATATGACCAATTTGCTCTCAGGAGTCGTGTCGTCTGGGCGGGATCCGCGGCTGGTGTCCGCGCGCTGCTCAACACAGCCCGCCGCGCACCCACGCGAGCACACCGTGTGCGCGCTACTGCACAAAGTTCCGCCACAAATGGGTTAAATTCGCCGCAAAATGACACTAACGGTGTCCGGGCCGCGAGCGGCCTTCGCGGGGCCTTTTAGCCCCCCCTCCCATACGAGATCATCTAGAAGGTGCGCCCGTCAGTCACCGTTGTTACGAAACTCCAAGTTCGGCCCAGCCGGTGCAAGCGCTCATAGCGCCTGGTAGGTAGGCAACATCACGCCTGCAGTGCATGCGCACATTGCGGGATGGCCTACCCTGAGTCTCGCAGGCGCCAAGCTCCCGTTAACCGAATGAATCCGAGAAAAACTCACGAACTTACTGGACGTACCCTCACAGGCTCCAGCTACACCATCACCTTCTGCGAGACTCCCCTCCCCCTAATGTTCCTCTTCGTTAGGATCCCTCCCTATCAAAAACGGCCACCCCTTTCTCACATTCCTCTCTCGCACTGCCGCCTCGGAGGCCGAAAGAGTCACTGAATTATCAACCTTTCACAGAGCGTCGCCCTACACACCCATCCCCCAACCTCTCCCTCGCCACGCCTCCAATGGAGTAGTCAGGTCCGCACTCAGCAAACGCAATAAAAACTTTTAATAGCGCTATAGGCGTTATGCCGCGTGGCGGCGTTCAGCCTCCGGCCGCCCCCGCCAGCCTCCGGCATCCCCCCGGCAGGCCTGCCGAAGCACGGCGATGGCCCCGCAAAACTTAGGCCAACTAATAAGCAGCCAGCCAGCCAGGCCTGTCAGCGGGCAGCAGCGCCAGTCACTACCAGCTGCCGGCACGCAGGATCACTGCTCGAATCACTGTCGGGGCGGCGGATCACACTGCGAGAGCGACGTCGTCGTCCCAGGTAGGGGCAGTGCCAAAGGAGCTAGCAGGCAGCGTCGGGCAGACTACTGACATGACTGCATCACTACCGGAACGACATCTCTGACAGGGCAGCATCGGCAACACCACTGAAAGGGCAGCATCACTGCCGAGTAGCATCACTAGAAGTGCTTCGCTACCGGGACAGCAGCACTGCCGCCGAAATGGCATCACTGCCGGGACAGGTGGCAGCATCACTGCCTCGAGCAGAGCTGGACCAGCATCACTTCCGGGACAGCATCACTACCAGGGCGGCAGCACAGCTACCACTGCAGCGGCAGTGTCTGATGCGACGGATCAAAACCTCGTCGCCGGAGATGGCGCTAATGTCCGCCGGGTCCGTAAAGAGGGGTTTTACTTCTGGGGCGTCACGAACTGCCTCCTCCTCCTCACCCTTACCGACCATCTCGGGGCTGCTGCCGGAGCCGCCGGCTCGTAGGGCCGGTAAAAAAAATAAAAATAATATTATGTCATGTCATCACCATTGCATTGCCGAGTGAGTAGTTTACGATCCCGAGCGGCGCGTCGTGAGATGACGATGATGGAGGGAATACAATGTTTGGCTGGATCGGGGTAAAGGAGCCTAGAGCATAGAGGCGCCATCTACAGGGTGAGTGATCTGCGCCGGCCTTTTTTTTATGCACGGTCATACTATACCGAGGAAAGGACGGCGCAGATACCCACCCCTTGTAGAGGGGTTACGTGAGGTGCTCGGCACGTAGACCGCTGCTGTGAGCTTGAACACGGTCGCATCGCGCATAGTCGATGGCGTACTGTCCTGGAACCATCCTGCTGGACGTGCGACGCACCACGATAGTGTCCGACTCACTTCCACTACTCGCTGACTCACTTCACCCGCCCACTCCAGGAGAAGAA